ACAGTGCCACTTCCGGCTTTTTTTTCCTGCTTATGTGGTGCTGAGGAATCGAACCCAGGGCCTTGAGCATGCAAGGCAAGCGTTCTACCACTGAACCACCTTCCCAGCCCTTAACCCTTCTTTCTTATCTCTATCCCTTTCCTTTCAAAACAATTAATAGGTTTCATTATTCTGTTTTCATGCATGCGTATATCTGTCCACTCCTCTTCATTCTTTCCTTTTTCCCTAGATTGTTGATTCTTAACTAAATCATTTTTTAATTAGAATTGATGAAAGGTAGGAGATATTCAGATTTTAAAACTTTCATTTTAAACTTTGAAAATTGAGCAGTTCATATATAGGAAAAATGATTCTTGCAAACTTTGACCATTTTATTTTATTTTTTACAAGTAATTAGCTCTGCGATATTATACATATGTGCTTCTGGAAAAATATATGTGATCCGTTCTTCAATTTCAAAGGGATGTATGTAAACCTGAGCATGGAAGGTAAAATATTCTTTGTTCAGTGATAGATACAGAAGTGAGTAATTATTTCTCTTAGGATGTCAACATTATTAAGAATTGTTTCTCTCATCACACCTGCTGATTAAAAACCATGTAAGTGTAGTAGTTTGAATATGTTATTTGAGTGGATGTTAAGAATTTCTGATTGTAGGTTTATGTCCTTACAGAGCTGGGCATGTTAAGCATAGATTAGAAAAGGTAAAGTAGCTACTGAAGAAAAGGAGTAAAGGAGATAGAAACGACTGTCTATTTAGGGCCAGTGCTTGCCATCTAGAAAAGGGGCAGACACTGCTTGCTTAATGAATATTCACTGTTCTGGACAGAGACCTCAGCAATATTGGACAGTCTAAGTAGCATAATTCGATATTCCTGAGTCTTTAAAGTACAGAGTTTCTTAATAACTTGAGTTCACTTATTCTAGGGATTCAGTCTAAAATGGAAAAGTGACCTCTTTGAAGGAAGTCCCATCAGTTATTTCATTTATTGCATCCAGGCTGTTAGCCTCATGTGTTCTTGTTCAGGAACAAGGAGGAAGGACATTTAGTGGCAAAATAGTTCCAAGATTACTCCTGTCACCATTAAAACCAATAAATTTTCCTATTCCTCACTGTTGAAAGGGAGTTCTAGTGTCATACTCATTTTTTTTTTTTCCTTTGCCAGTTTCTTCCATTGTTTTCTTTTATTCTATCAGGAACATATTTCCCTTCTACTGTTTTCTTCAGTAAAATAGACCTGTAGGAAATTAAAACCTAGTTAGATAACTATAGATGATTAATTGCCCAGTTTACAGCACGGATTATTTCATGATCATTTGGATTATTTCATGATCATTTGATTACTCTTGTCTTGGTCATTTTGTCTAAGATATATTGTCTCCAATTCACTTACTCGTTTATTTTTCTTTTGTCCATGCTAAAAATATACCTACTCCCCCCCCCCCCCCCCCAGTCCAGTTGGGGGGGAAACAAACATCATGTATCACCTTAGTCTGCATACCCTTTCTTTTCCACTTAGGAAAGGATATCTTGAATTAGGGAAATGGAAGAAGTGGTGGATAGTTTTGAACTCACCATAGTGTGCCAAAATAGTTACACAGGTTAGCACTGAGGTTTGTACAGTTGTTGGAGACAGTCCTCAGAAATAACTAATTCTGGTGTTACAGTTGGTAGGGATGATGCCAAGCACAGAAAAAAGTAGAGTGGGATGTACCAAAATAATTACAATTCAAGAGAAAATGTAGTAAATGCCATCACCAATGCAATGTCTTTCTTTCCAATGTATTTCTGGATAGGGAGCAATTGGTATTTGGAGTATCAGAAAAACACAGTGTAGTGGAAGTGGGTGGATCTGCCCACTTATAATTCCAACCCTGGAAAGGCTGAATCAGGAGGATAGCAAATTCAAAGCCAGTCTGGTTTCTATAACGTCACTGTCTCAAAACAAAAGAAAGGAGGAAAAGGGAAAGATGGAAAGGAATAAAAAAGAGAGAAGGGAAGAAAGAAAGATCAGTAAAGGTATTGTAACTGAAATACCTTATATGGACTACATGCACAGAATGAGAGCAGGGGATTCAAATGGGGATGAATGTGAACTGTAAATGTTGTGTCACATGTACTACCCATTATTTGATTACTGAGCTTCTATTTTGTCTTTGAATATTAAAATTACATATAAAGGCATGCGTGTTATTGGATTCAATCAACCATGGGTTGAAAATATTCAGGAAAAAAGATATATGCTGATTATGTACTAACTTTTATGTCTTGTCACTACTCTTCTAACAATACCTTATAACAATAATGCATACATTTATATTGCATTTCATATTATGAGTAATCTAGAAATGGTTTGAAGTGCAAAGAAAGATGAATATAGGGGTTAGCTTTCTATCACTGTGAACAATATACTTGAGGCCAATGAAGTTATAAAAGATTTATTTTGGCTCAAGATTTCTGCTAACTTCACAGTACCAAAATGCAAAGTGGTGTGTGTGTGTGTGTGTGTGTGTGTGTGTGTGTGTAAATTAAGTAGTATAATACATATTAAACAAAATAACATATTTTAACTCAGAAACCTTAGGACTAAAAATATAGTTTTCTTTAGGCACTAGCAATCTCTTTACCCATTCCAGATGATAAAGACTCCTGACTTGCAATTTCCCATTAATTTCATGTACTACTATTTTTTTAAAAAAGCTGTTATCATAAAATATTGGGCCCTCAGACAACTTACCCTGAAGTGATTAATAAACCACAGAAATAGCCATTTTCTTTTCTCTTCGTACAGCATTGGTATTTTTAGAAATTCAGTTGCATGTGCCAAGTTTTATTTGTAGATAGAAAGGGGATTGTTAAATGGTCTGTCAATTCACAGGAAATCTTTGTTCTTTTAAGAGCATACCAGATAACTAGTTCCATTTAGTTTTTAGTAATTTCTTATACTCTTAAAGCAGCCACACAAATCATGTCATTATTTTAGATATTCAGCAGTTTATTACTAACAAAGCCATGGGAACATTGTTTTCTTTTCCCTTTTCTTTCTTTTGTTTTTTGTTTTTGGTCTGGACATGGCTCTGAATAAATTAATGAATCTTTTTAAAAAAATCAAAATGAAAACTATTGGACTTTATTGAAGTGAGCATTTTATTTGGAAGCCTCAATAAAAGACTAGTCCTTCAGTAGTAGATTAAGTAAATTGTAAATGTATTTATATATATATATATTTTTGACGGTCGTGGGGCCTGAACTCTGGGTGTGGGCTCTGTCCCTCAGCTCTTTAGCTCAAGGCTAGTGCCCTACCACTTGAGCCACAAGGTGCTGAGGAATTGAACCCAGGGCCTCATGCATGCAAGGCAAGCACTCTACCACTGAGTCACCTTCCTAGCCCCTGTATTTATAATTTGGAATATTATATAGTTATTGCAACAGAAAACAAGATCAATAGATCTAGTGAGAAGAACATGAGAGATACAATTTTGAATTACTAAATAACATATGTAGTTATGCATTTGTAAAAAAAAGATACAGAATGCACAGTTCCTAAGTATATTTCAATTAGTCATCTGTTAGGCTAGCAATTAGAGGGAGATGATTAATAATAGGAGAATCTAGAAATAAATTCATATACATATGATAATTTAGTATAACATAAAAGTATAATAAAAAGAAGTGACATTCCAAAGACACTGGATTATTTAAGAAATAGTATTGGTATTTAGAGAAAAAGAGGAAGTTAAATCCTTCTCATTTCTGTTTTCAAAACAAATACTGGATTGATCAGATACTCAAATCTTTAAAATGAAGCTGTGCATGCCCTAGGAAAGTAACAATGACTTTTGATGTTTGGGTTTTTTATCTTTATTTTTTTATTCATTTGAAATAGAGAATAGCCTCAATTCCAAAGAATATGGTTTGCTTGCCTGTGCTAGCTAAATTGTTTATAAGGCTTTTGAGGACTGAATGAATCTATATATGTTTATGGACCCAACTTTCAGTTTTAATATGTATTAAATGTTTAGAGGCATAATTATGCAGGCTTATCCAGTGCTATCACCAGGTACCAACAACTATGTGTTTCATAAAACCCATTCATGAGCAGTTCACTATGTTGACTTTTGCAAGAGTATTATAAATGGTAATGTATTTATCAAATGAAAGAGAAATAATAAACCAGGAAAAAAACAGTTGAGAAGACACATATGAACTCAGTAAAGTTACCTCTGGAATGTGGGCTTGGATATCCTAGGGAGGGCAAACTTTATAATATATGTTCTTATCACCTGAATAATATCAACATATGTTGCTTTTTATCATCAAGAATAACTTTACTTAAAGTTATTTGAAATGATAGAGAACTTAGGGCTTCTGTAAGATTTATAGCCTGCTTATTTCTTAACTATTTCAGCCAATCACATTTAAAAAAAAATGTCCTGAAGCAAAACATAGAAACATGGAAGCATATTGGCTTTGTTTTGTCATAAATTTATGTTATCTTATAGAACAGTTTTATTCCAAATCCAGATCCATTTGATTTTTACATATTACTCATTTGGTAATAACACAAGCATAGTAATATCTTAGTGTAGAATGAAAAATTCACTATAAAAGTTATAGTAAAATGGGAATGGTCATAGAACTTCTGGGAGACTACCTCCCTGGGATACTCTGCTCCCTTAGGAAGGTGTCTTTCATTAAATGGAAAATGGAGAAGCACTATCAAATAAATACAAACAGAACATCATAGCCAGTAATCATCCTAAAGCTTTTGTAGGTTTTATGTTTCATAAAAGACGTTTTTATTAGCTCAATTTAGCCCACTAAAATAAATGCTTGACTATGTACTTAGAAGTCTCACTGAATCTAGTAAATGTCTGAGCTGGTAGAACAGTTTAGTCATTAAAGTTATAATCCAATTAAAGCTAAAAGAGCAAAATAAACTAATTTTAATCAAATTTACCTTAATTTCTTTGTGCGTCTCTGTCTTTTCTTTCTACAGGTTCTAGTAATGAAAGGCAGTAATAGAAATAAAGATTCAACAGAAGAAGGGACTGGAAAACGACCAAAACGGAAGTGTCTTCAGTGGCATCCATTGCTAGCAAAGAAACTTTTGGACTTTTCAGAAGAGGAGGAGGAGGAAGACGAAGAAGAAGATATTGATAAGGTAATATTTCCATTCCCTAAAGAAGTTTCAATAATAATACTTTAAAAATATAGTAAACAGGTATAGTATGAAAGGTATGTTTCTAAAAGTCAACATAACCTAAATTTTGTTTAACTCCTAAATTTACATTTTAAGATTGATCTTTAAGTATTCATCCTAGTAACTTAGAAGCAGTTTCTTATTAATTCAAATTTCTGTATACTTATGATTGTAAATAATGTTAAAATTCACTGAGATAGGGATGCTCATGAAATTTGATGTGCTCACCTGGCAGCTACCCTGCAGTGTTTTTGCCTCTATCCATTTGTGCACTTATCTCCTATTGTATTTTCCCTCCGTGCCTCCGTCCCTCTGTCCGTCCTCCCTTCTCTTCCTTCTCTTCTTTCCCTTCCTTCCCTTCCCTCCCTCCCTCCCTCCCTCCCTCCCTCTCTCCCTCCCTCCTTCCTTCCTTCCTTCCTTCCTTCCTTCCTTCCTTCCTTCCTTCCTTCCTTCCTTCCTTCCTTCCTTCCTTCCTTCCTTCCTTCCTTCCTTCCTTCCTCTGTGTACTTACCTCCTAACATCATCTCTGAGTTCCCTGTGTAGTATCTATCACCATTACTTTTCCACAAAGATAACAGAACCCAGCAGAAATTATTCTTCTACCTCCTCTATGTACCTGTCTGTCCCCTTGTCTGCCACTGTACTTGTCTTTTCTTCTACTTTCCTTAAGGGAAGTAGGTTTTATTCCTCCTTTCTTATTCTAACAAAACAAAATATTCTACAAATAGATTAAAAGTATTTGGTTCAATTTTGAGTTCAGTTTTTTTGACTTTTATTCTTTATTCACTCACCTTTTATCTAATTTATTGAAATCAGTATAACGTAAAAAGTAGTTAAGATCCCCTTAGTAGATGAATGGATCAAGAAAATGTGGTTCTATATTCCATCAGAAAGAATGACATCATCCCATTCATAAGGAAATAGAAAGACTTGGAAAAAATATTAAGTGAAGTAAGCCAGACCCAAAGAAACATAGGCTCCATGGTTTCCCTCATTTCTAATAATTAGTGTATGTTTAGGATAGTCATAGCAGAGGATCACAATAGGCTAATAGCTATGTCCGTATGACCATATGGGGGTGTGGGGGGAGATGGAAAGGGATGGTAAGGGGAAACAAAGGAGGAGGTAACAATGCTTGATAAGAAATGTACTCATTACCTTGCCCATGTAATTGTAACCCTCTGTATGGTATTTTCACAATAAAAATAAATAAATAAAAGTTTTACGTGGGAGAAAAAAATGCTAATCGAAATGAACTGCAAGATATGGAAATAAGAGTTATTTGTTTTTTTGTTTTTTTATTTAATGTGACATGTGAAGTTATTTTTTTTTCTTTCTTTTTTCTTCTTCTCTGGTCACTGTTTTTGATTTTGGTACCCCGTGTCTTGTATATTCATTTATCTGGAAGGGAAGGGGAATCACAAAAGAGTGAGACAAAGGACAAAGGGTGAACCAATGCAACAGCGATAGTCACAGGACACGGTTGGAAATGAACTTAAATGCTTTCTACTGATCCATATAATCTGGAACCACTCGATTAAGTACTTGCTTTTTACTAAGGCAAGAACACGTTATTTATAAAATGACTCATTTTCTACAGCATTATTTTCCAAACCCTATTCTCATGTTTTATGTACCAGTGCTAAGGAACTGCATGTTGATGCTCTAACAGAACTTCAAACCTTTATCCTTGTTACTTTATCTTCCTATGGACTACCTGATACTTTTTGATTCATCTTTCAAATTTTAGCTTAGACTGCACCTTTTCTTTGGAGACTTTCTTATGCTGCTACTCATCATGAGTGCTTCATTATCTCTCTGTTTTCTTATTTCAGTTATCACACTACTTTTTATTTAGTTATCTCTATTTCTCATACCTCAAATAGTGATCTCCTTTCCCCAGTTTTTAGCTTGGGTCTTAAAATTTAGTAATGGGATGAAAAGGCACACTTCCTCAGCTTAGATAATATAGTGTCATTCCTAATTTTACCTTAGCTACTTAAATTAAGGAATATCAAATAAATGTTCTTTGAAAAAATACAAATCATTGTTAATTATTATATATATAATGAGAGAGATTGGTAGCCTTTATTTTTAATAAAAATCCCTTAATATATTTCAAAGTCAGGTCTGACTTCAACATTTTTGGACCATTTGTATTTGAAGATAACTAATGATTAATTGCATTTGCAATATGTACTTTACAAAAGACTTAAACAATACAAAGTCAATGAAGGAAGTAGTTTGTCCTAGAGAATCTGCTTATAACACTTGTCCAGTAAACATTGTTTAAAAGAACACGATTACTCTGTAATTGTGGTTCTCAAAGTATGACCTGACTCACCAGTAGTATTCACATCCCCTGGAGCTTGTTAGAAATATGAATTCTTAGGATCCACTCCAGACCTATGTAATCAGAGAAGTCTTAGAATAGAGCCTAGCAATCTATGTTTTAAACATCTCTAACAAATTCCATCCACATTGAAGCTTCAGAATTACTGCCTTTCTGCATAATATAGATTAATAACTATCTTGATTCTTCCTGATTTCAACTATAGTACAAGAAATTTTATAATGACTTTAGTACACATTTTGGATTTCTTCTTACATTTCCAGGAAACATCACTGAGTCATATTTTAGCCTTAGAAGATACTTACCAATCCTAATATTTTCTGAGATTCGATAATCACATATGCATTAGGAAATTTAATCTGGAATCCATATGCTGCAAGTGTTAGGGAAAGATTAAAAAGAGAAAGACTGGACCGTAGGACAAAGTGGCCATAGGGAAGTAACATTGAAAATCTGAGCTTTGTTGGAGTTCTGAAGACAATGATGAAGCAAAGTGCTTACTTAGGAATGAGGATTCCAAATGGATTTTGATGATTTAAGCCCAGAGGAATTTACTCATATTGTTATAACATTTCACTTGACACAGCAGCTTGGTATTTACAGGATTAAAGATGTGTAGTGTAGTACTTTCAAATAATCATGTAAATATTTATTTTGATTATTTACAATAGACACTTCCACTTGTAAAGAACACTTAATGGACTGTATTAGCTTTATTTTATCTGTTTTATGGCAAGAATTATCTCATTATTAGCTGTCTAAAAGCACTTTTTAAAGAGAAAGAGCTACCATGCATGGATTTTGTGTGTGTGTTGTTAGTTTTAAGACCTACTAACCCCAAAATAAGTTTATTCATTTAGCAATTAGATGAGTTATATTAGATGAGTTGTTTTTTGTTTTTTATTTTTTTGTTTCCTGGTCATGGGGCTTGAACTCTGGGTCTGGGTGCTGATCCTCAGCTCTTCAGCTCCCAATTGAGCCACAGCACCACTTCTGGTTTAGTGAGTGTTTTATTGGAGACAAGAGTCTCATGGACTTTCCAGCCTGGACTGGCTTTGAACCATGATCCTCAGATCTCAGCCTCCTGAGTAGCTAGAGTTATAGGCGTGAGCCACCGTTGCCCAGCTGAAAGATAATTTTTGCCCTCAGAAGGCTCTCACTGTTCAGTGAGTGACAAAAATGTAAGCAATTACAGCACAGTGTAATATGCTGTAATGTAGACTGCAAAGTTGTTACAGACACTGAGCAGGATATTCATCAGTTAATGATTTTTTTCTTTTTAATTTTTAGGTACAAAACCCAAACTGATTGTTCAAACAACATTGTTCAAGATATGTTAACTACTTGGCTTTTGTTTTTGTTGGTGATAGGTTCAGCTTCTTGGGGCCGATGGCCTAGAGCAAGATGTTGGTGAGACTGAAGATGATGAATCACCAGAACAGCGTGCCAGGAGACCAATGAATGCATTTCTTTTATTTTGCAAACGCCATCGCTCCCTTGTCCGTCAAGAACACCCTAGGCTTGATAACCGAGGTGCTACCAAGATACTAGCTGATTGGTGGGCTGTTCTCGATCCAAAGGAAAAACAGAAATATACAGACATGGCTAAGGAGGTAGGTTACAAGGATAAGGAGTGATGATGATTGTGAGTAAACACTTCTGTAATTCCCACTCTATCAAATATAGAGCACTTATTGAAAGTCTAGAAGTTGCATCCTGAATCTCAGATACTAAGTGGAAATATAAGAGCTTTCTTTGTTCATGTCGTTCCATTTCTACCTTAGAAATGCTGGTAAAGATTCCCAAGAGTCATTTATTACCAAGTTTTTCTAATTGTCTATATTCCTACTGTTATAAAGGATTGATGTATTGATTTATTATGGATAGTTTACTATAAATAGTGATATATTTATTGATTGATAATTTTTAAGTTTTTTAGGAACTCACTTTCTGCTGTCAGACAATGCCCATGATAAAGATGATAATTGGGTATTATTCTAATGGTTGTCATTAGAAAGAGTTGTTGTCTGGTGCTAAGTATCTTTGTGATCTAGATAAGTCTATCATTGGGTATTAGCTTCTTTTTTAATGTTGTTAGAATAAAGAAAGTGGACAAAGATCTATATGTCCCTCAGCTTTAACAATTATTAATAGAAGTATTTCAACTTGTTGCTGTTGATAGTAGTACATCCTGAATATGAATATCTAATGAATGAATGGCAATAGAACAAGCTATATTTTTCTGTATATGCATGTAAACACAGTATAGGCAGTAGTTAGCAAGAAACATTTTCATATAGGAAGGCTATTCAAAGTGGTAGAACTTTCAGTAATACTAAAATGATAGTAGTTCCTAAGTTTCTTCTAAAGTTAGATACTGGTGCTATTTCTTTTCCCCTCCCTCCCTCCCTCCCTCCTTTCCTTCAGTCCTAGGGCTTGAACTCAGGCACTGTCCTAGGCACTGCCAAGGCACTGTCCCTGAGCTCTCTTAATCAAGGCAAGCACTCTACCACTAAGCCACATTCCCAGCCCCTGGTGCTATTTCTAAATTAATCTAGAATTATTATAAGAACACTGAACATTTAAATGTATTGTGATTGGATTTAGTGGAAGTAGGGATAAGCAAAGCTGTTATGATTGTGGTTTAACCTGACAAGAATAATTCAAATATCTTTTTTTTGGAGTTGTTCATGAAAAACTCCACCACTTAAACATTTAGTGAACTTGGGGGGTGGGGAGGGGGCGGTGACAAGAGGACCTAGCAGGGATAAAATTCAATTTCAAATTCATTTCAAGAAATTTTACTAGATACCTTAGTAGTAGAAAAAAAATAATACTTCCCTTGTTGTGGTTTTATTGAATTGTTTAATAAGGTAACAGTAGTTTAATAAGGTAACAATAATTTCTTACAAGATGTTCAGGGAAATTTGAATCCAGAGTAAGCAATTAGTATAATTGTGTGTAATTAATGATCACACAAGGCTTTAGGAATTGATTACTGTTAAAGATAGAATTTTAACTATGTAGGGCATCTGGAAAATTTAAAATCAATTTCAGCAACCTGCAGCAAATAGTTTCAGTAGATTTCCACTAACATAACACTAATTAACAATAAAACTTTCTCATTAAATAGCCTTATATCCTTTCATAATCATGCTTACATGATAAATATCTGAAACCTCACAGGGAGCTGCATAAACTTCCTATAATTAAGCTCTTGAGTTTGTTTGTGAATTGTTTTTTGGTAACAGAAGCATATTCACAGTATATTATTTGCCTTCTCTTAAATACAACTAATTTACAACCCAATAGGTGGCCACTTTTAAGAGGAAGAAGTATTATTTTTGCACAGGAAATCCCTCACTAATTAATTAGGTTCACAATGTTTGTCATTGTGTGGTGTTATAATGAAATTGTTAATATGGTCCCCTACAACCTAAATGTGAAAACCATAATGTCCTACAGTTTAGCTTGTCTCATTTATAGTTGCTCTTATGAAAGGTCCTCTTATTTCTAGTTCCTTTTGAAAGATTAAGGTACTTTCAAAATTATTATACAATTGGGTCTCTAGTCATGATTCTTACTGGCTTCAACTTATTTACTGTATGTTTTCACAGTTCTATTAATGTACATGTAACTGGGCTGGTGCTTTGTGTTAATATTGCAGGCTTACTTAAAATGTCAGTTTAGGCACCAATACTACTTAAGTGGTAGTTGATAGTGATAGAAGGCCACTATCAACTACTACTGTTTTAAAACAATACTTTATTCACTTGTGGCTCACACATATATCTTAACTATTAAGAAGACTGAGATCTCGTGGGCCATGGTTTGAAGCCAGATGAAGCAGAAGAGTTTGAGATTCCATCTTCTAAAACACTAGCAAAAAACTGAGCTGGAGGGGTTGTTCAAATGGCACAGTGCCAGCTTAGCAAAAGGCAAAGCAAGCAAGTATGAGGTTCTGAATTCAAATGCCTACAGAAAAAAACAAAAATCTCTGTTGTAGATACATAATCTTTTTAGTTTTTTTAAGCTCCAAGATTTAAATATTATTTAAATATTCTCATAGTGCATATGTGAATGTGATTACATGTGTTTGCCATTGTCATAGCAGTGAGAAATACAACCATGCATCACTTAATGACAAGATGCATTTTGAACCCTTGTATTTAGGCAGTTTAATCATTGTACAAGCATTATTAGTGCGTTTATATAAGACATTTACATTACCATTAAGAATATAATCTTAGTGGAACACTATTGCATATGTGCTATGTAGTTAGTTGACCAAAATATTTTTATGCAATTTATCTTTTTTTTTTGGTTTTCAAAGAACATATTTTGATAGCAAGAATGATAAATAACAAATATAACTCTGTGGAAGTTTTTTTTTTAAATGAAATATCTTCTTGATATTTCTGTTCCTCCTAGTTATTTTACATTTATGGATTTGGTAAGATGAGGTCCCAATCTAGAATTGGACATTTTCGTGAGTTACTATACTAATTTGCATTGTTGTAAAACAAAATTTGTTGAGTGAGGGTTTCAGGTTCTCCCATAGACGTTATCTAAGCAATGATATACAAGTAATCTAAAACATACTATCCTGAGGATTTAACCCGTTGCTTTCTTAATTTAAGAAATATGACATAGCAATGTTTTGGTTGTTTACAGGTTCTAATTTTTAAATGTGTTTACAGGTTCTAATTTTTAAATTGCAGAAACAATTTTCCTTTTCCTTTCAACATATGTATGTGATGTATGTACAGATGATATAAATGTAAGAATACAAAACTCTTGATTTGTGCTTAGGATATTACTGGAACCTTCCACTTGTTAGTTAAACTAATGATTGCAATTAATGTGTTGACACTGAATTTGATTCATCACACATATTAACCTTCAGCAGAAAGAGTTAGTATAAAGAGGGTGAGAGCATCTGCGAACTTTAACAATCCCAGTGAACTTTAAGAAATTATTCTTCTCTTTGATCAGTGGTATGAGGCCGAATGCATGCATTTATTGAGTTAGGTGCAACTATGTAAAGTCAAAAGAAGACTCTAAATAGTACCTTATTTAGTCATATGGTCATTGAATTGGAGCTAAGGACATTCTTTTCTGTTGGACTTTGTGCCTTTTATTATGTGTCTTTATCCTATTTTCTTTAGATAAGTGAGAGATAAGTGGTCTTGGGTAAAATATATAAAGAATGGTAATGCTAAAATGTCATGTCTTGTGGGAAGAGTGCTTCTATAGAAGGAGGGTAGAAAAGGCTTTACAAAGTCCTTGGTTTTGGTATAGGATTGAGAGGTTGAAAATAGATGTAGGAAAATGAAATCACTTTAGGAACTAGGAAGTGGTTTTTTACCTAGTTTGTGTGGGTGAGTCCACAGGAGATGGTAATATAAGGGTAAATATGACAATCATCACAAGAAATCAAGCTGAAATCTAGTATGATTAGTTGAATGTCAATAGAACTGCTATGGAATTAAATGTAATAGAAAATAGTAGGTAAACCATATTAGCTCTTGATGTTAGTATCTGTTGTCAATATGCAAGGATATATTACCATCATTACAAAACTGGTGGGTTTTTTTGTGTGTGTGTTGTTGGTTTTATTTTATTTTGTTTTGTTATCCATTTTAGGCTTCAACTTTGGACGTTGGCACTATTCCTAAGCTTTTTTTGTTCAGGGGCTATCGCTCTACCACTTAGGCCACAGCTCTACTTCTTGCTTTTTTGGTAGTGGTAGTTTATTGGAGTTTATTGTGGAGTTTATAGTGGAGTTTATTGGAGTCTCAAAGGCTTTCGAATTGTGTTCTTCAGATCTCTGCCTCCAAAGTACCCAGGATTATAGGTGTAAGTCATTGGCCCCAGATACAAAACTTCATTGTGTTTTAAATGATTAGTTCTGCCTGAACATTAATGTAGGGAAAAAATCAACTTATTTTTTTATTGAGATTAATTTGTATAAGGGATTTTTATTCCCTTGTTTGGGTTTTATTTAAAATGAACTCTACTCCAAAGAAGTTATAGCCACATTTCTCATGAGTTATAAAATCTAAAGACTTTTTCTTAGCTCTTTTGTATTATGCCTCCAGAATTTGTGTTCTCAAAGCATGCTCTAGAACTTTGCTATCTAGTATGGCTCTGTCATCCACCATCCTTGTGAAGTAGATGCTAAACATGATTACCAGATAGATGAAACTTTAGTGCTCCTTTAAAAATCACTTTTTAAAAAATATATTTTCCCTTAAAACTTTCTTATACACTTTTCTATTAAAAGTATTCAGATGTCTTTAAACATTTGAAAACATAAAGTTCCAACCTATTATTATTTATTATTTATTATTATAGTCTATAATTTGGTGAGATCTTTAATATCCAATTGATCTCTGTTTAACAATGATTCTCAGATACTTTGTTCTTCTGAATTTCCACTTAGTAATTTTTCCATGGGATTTTCTTTTGGGTACACTATCAATTATGAGTTTTCTTGGTTACACCTAATCAAAGAACTTACTGTATGTGATTTTCTGACTGTGGTATAATTGGGACCTCCACACTTAGAACAGAAGTGAGTAATAAAACCATATATAGACTACCTTTTTCC